ACATTACAAAGTAGTTTTCCATGAAGGGGGAGACTATAAGAATAGACGTCTAGACGGGTGTTTCTTCTTCTAAAACTGAAATTCCATGAAACAAATAAGTTGTAGCAGCTTGAAAATGACCCATCTTTCTCAGTAAACATTTAATATGTTTGTTTTAAGTTGAAGTCCTAAGGTGTGGTTTACTCAATCATCTTAGAATTCTTTTCAGAATTTCTTGAAAGTAACTTAAATTTGGGTAATCCTCAATTTTTCTCTTAGAAACACTAGCTGTCCACTTTTTCCCTTTTGGTTTTTTTTGTTTTGTAAAAACCATTTAAATTTTTTTTCTTTTATTTAGGATAGTAAGCCCTCATAACTATGTATTGTTGTCAGTTTCTTACACTTTCCCAAGATGATTTTCTCCTTTGACTCAGAATTTTGTAAAATTAGATGGGGCAAATAACAGTTTTTATTAGACTACCTCCCATACAAACATACAACCAGTGTCTCCCATTATCTGAGAGGCACTGACAGAATCTGGTTTCTAGGTCTGGATCTGGGTAGTGCACTGATTCCAGTTTGTCCATTTAAGTCCGATACTGAGCACTGTGCAGTAGGTAATTTATTACCTGGAACCAACACATAATTCCTAGTGATCCTTTACTGTCTGTTAGAGCAGGATTATTACCTGTATAATGAACTGGCCAAATGGTTGGTACCCACCTGTAACCCCGGTTGAGCAGCATCCTCAGCTCTGTGAGGAGGTGGAGGCCAGCCTGAGCCGTGAGACCTTGTCTCAGTGTAAGAAGAGAAAGTGAACTTGACTCTAGGACCAATACTCTGCCACCACGTTCCCAGATTCTTATACCTACATTATGCAGTTAGTCTAACCTGGTAGGGAACATAAATTATTCTGGCTCATTGCTATTTCTTTTTTTAAAAAATAAATAAGTGGTAATCGGGCGGTGGTGGCACACGCCTGTAATCCCAGCACTCGGGAGGCAGAGGCAGGTGTATCTCTGTGAGTTCCAGGTCAGCCTGGTCTACAGAGCTAGTCCAGGACAGGCTCCAAAGCTACAGAGAAACCCTGTCTCAAAAAACCAAAAAAAAAAGAAAGAAAAAGAAAATAAATAAGTGTTAATCTAGATAGAATGAATAGGTAATAGAATGAATGAGTGAATAACAAAATTCATATGAAAATAATTATGCTAAGAAAATTTTCTGAGTTAACTACCTGTGAAATAGTGATAGCCACTTAGGGGAATAATATTTTAACAGCATAGCTTACATATTTATTTTTAACGTGTGTGTGTGTGTGTGTGTGTGTGTGTGTGTGTGTGTGTGTGTGTGTGTAGCCAGGTTTCTACAGTCTCACCTGGCCCTGCAGTCCTGCAGCTGCTTATAAAATAATGACTCAGAGGCTTATATTAATTGTAACTGCTCAGCCATTAGCTCAGGCTTATTACTGACTAGCTCTTACACTTAAATTAACCCATAATTCTAATCTAGCCACATGACTTGGTACCTTTTCTCAGTTCTGTCTTGTCATCTTACTTCCTCTGTATCTGGCTGGTGACTCCTGATTCTTCCCTTCCTCTTCCCAGCATTCTCCTAGTCTGCTCACCCTGCCTATACTTCCTGCCTGGCTACTAGCCAGTCAGCATTTTATTAAACCAGTATACAAGAGCATTATCCCACAGCACATGTGTGCATGTACATATATATGCTTGTGTGGAGAGGTGGTCAGAGGACAACTTGTAAATATATATATAAATTTTTAATAAGCAATTTCCAGAAGCAAAATATAATTTGTTAGAATCATTTTATTACTATAAAAGGATGATCAGCTTAAAAACATGTTTCTTCTTTTAACAGTTACCCAGGTGGGTTTAGACAGGTAACAGCTGCACAACTTCACCTGAAGGACCCAGTGGCGGTAAGCTTACAGTTTGTATTGGTCATCTGGACAAGACTGATTCAGACTGTTTTTGCCATTCCCTTCTAATATAAGCACTATTCAGGGCAATACCTGCTTCATCGTATTACACAAAGTTTTATTAATGCCATATTCATTATCATTCAGTTCTGTTTCCTAATTACTATCATTAGTTACATCAACTCAAAGAATTCAGATACTTTTTTATTTCTGGCACATCTGTCCTTGTCTAGAATATGATAAGCTCCCTGCAAATACCTTCAGAGAAAGACAAAGGGATATAATGTGTTTGCTTAGTGTATTTTAATCTTACCGGTTTATTTTCCTGATTCATTGTCTGATTGAGGGTTTATTTGTTAGATACTAAAATCTAAGTCATAGGTTTATTTATTTCTATATAGCTCTGTCATTTGGGGAGCGTATATGTTGAAGATTTAGTGTTAGATAAATTTAAGTTTGGGATTATAATCTTAAAGAGTAAATAGGTGGACATCAGTGCATTTGGCCTTCTTTATCTCCAGTAATGCTTCTTCCCTTGAGCACTGGTGTTCTCCTAATTTGAATATAGCTGTTCAGTCTCCTTTTGATTTGCATTTACCTGGGATATAATTTTCTATAGTTTAAACTTTCTAACTCCTCCTAACATCCACTAGCCCTTCCAGTATTTCATGGAGGAGGAAACAGGTCCCAGAAGGAAGGCAGGGGAACAATGGATTGTAAGCAAATAAGAAAAAAAGAAAACACACCCCAACAAACAACATCAGAAGTCAAATGATATCAGGATAAATAACAAGAATATCGAATTGGGAGGGCTAAGAAAATATCGAAAAGTTGTGTTTGTTAGAAATTAAACCCGGAGTCTAGCTTGCTAGGCCACCACTCTGCCACTGAACTGTATCCCTAACCCTACAAGATATTTTAATAAACAGTTAATAAACACTGTTATTAATTAAATAAGTATCTATCACTATTAAAAGATAAAGTAAGCACTGTTATTAATGATGTTTAATAATAGTATTAGTGTGTATTAATAATAAACACTATTATTGTTTATTATTATTTGAATGACATTCTCAACAAAGTTCTCATCCATGTGTTTGTCCCACTACTGTCTCCTCTTGCTGTTTTACAACTTATTTTTCTTTTTTGGCTGTCCATAAACCTGACCTTTGAACGCTACTCAGAAGAACCAGCCCTTTCCCCTTTGGTGACTACTAGTTTTTTTTCCTAAATGCGCTTATAAGTGAACAAGGTATTTCTCCGAAAATACTCCTTGTTTTCCTAAAAAAGTTAGAGGGAAGATGGATAAATTGACATGATGCTACCATGTGTTTATACTACCTTGAGTTTTCATGATGAAATGTAGGAGAGGGATATTCTATTATAGTAAGACCTGGCAACCATTTAGAAGTTCTGCACGTTATCTGTATCATGCATGCTCAGACATCGCTTCTTAGGAAATAGTTTTCTGTTTCCTAGCTAGTGTGTGTTTTTACACTATCACAGGTCACTGTATTATGTCCCACTTGTTATATAGGCCTGTATAGAAAAACTGTAAGGTTGGCTAGATGATGTTCTCTAATCTAACTGTCACAACAAATTATAGTTTTAATTATAAGTACTTAAAAATTCGAAAGTTAGTTTCTGTTTCATTTTGGATATGTTAACTGTACACTAGGAGGCAATATAATTCAACTTTTTAATAGTGACACTTGATAAGGTTTATAAAAAGTATTTTTTAACATTTTACTTTTCAAGTTACGTTGCAACAAATGGGTTTAATTATGGCAGTTTTATACACGTCTTTCTACTTCGTTCTAATTACAGTTTTGAAGAGAACAAAAATTGAAACATAATACAAAATGTTTGGTGAAGGTTTAGAAAATATTTCATTTAAACCTATTTGCATTATTAACTCATTGAAAGAGCTTAATTTGTTAACATTTATTAATTATTTGTCTGTGTATGAGTGTTTTACCTGCATGTGTGTGTGTGCAGTGCCCCCAGACATGTGTCATCCTAATAAGTTATGGAGAGAAGTGTATTTTGGGTGTGATTGCATGTGCCGTGGTGTTTCTGTTCCTGGGAGTCGAACACTTCATTTGAATTCCAGTACAGCCATTTGATAGGTAGATGGAATGAGGTCAGTCTTTACCCACAGTCAGTTGTCTCTTCTGCTAGGTGAGGCTGATATAACACTTGCTTCGCAGCATCATAAATACATTGTTAAAATGTAACACGCTGACTACTATACAACCAGTAAATTGTTGGTGAACGTTAACATACCCAACAGATGATACAGCGCACCCAGATGATAACGTGCGGAACTTCTAAATGGTTGCCAGGTCTTACTGTAATAGAACATTACATTAGAATGGCTGCCAACCTGCGTCTTACTGTCAGTGAAACTACTCAGATTAGTTTATGAATTTAAATCTCACTGCTCTCCCTCCTGCAGGAGACAGGACTCGGGTCCCTCTGGTCCTTCTGTAAACTTAGAAAGTGACTCATGTTAAAAATTAGCACATACGAGGGGTATGTCCAGTGCCTTCCGTTTGCTCTTTTTCTCAGTAAACAATAAGCAAGTAGCACCTCCAGAAAACAGTAGTGTAGACAGTAATACAGTTCCTTTCTGGTGTTCCTGGGTACTCACTTCCATCTGTCTTTACTGTGTCCACGTGGCCTCTCAGCCGTTCCTTTTCACCGCCATCTAATTGTGTTTGCTTTCAGTCCATCTGAGGCTCATCTTCTACTAAGTCCTCAGTGTCTCTGTTTTTCAGATTGTGAAATTAGCTACTTATGGCATGCTGCCCAAAAACCTGCACAGAAGAACCATGATGCAAAGGTTGCATCTTTTTCCAGACGAGGTAAGTCAACAATGCTGAGAACAGGGCTTTTCCTCAGTGCTCAGGGAAGCCTTATTTCCCACTTTCAAACAATTGCCGTAGGTTTATTTTCAATAATTGTATCTCGACTTCCAACGTATTTATTGTATTTTAAAGTGAACACAGTGCATACACGTATGAACATACGCACCCATGCACATTAGTAATTATTCCTTCATTAAAGCATTAAATGGGCCTCCGGAGGGCCGGGCTCCCGGCATCGTGGTCGCGCTCGCCCGCGGCTCTGCCCGCGGCTGCCGTCTGGACGCTTGGCCATGTCCTGGCGCCGCGCGGTTTCGCCGGGGAGGTGGCTGGTGGCGAGCGGGAGCAGCTTGGCGTGGCGGCGCAGCGCGGCGGGAGCTGCGGGCTCGGGGAAGTAAATATGACTGTTGCTTCTAAGTGGCCAAAGCTTTGCAGCTAATAACTCTGGCGTCCTGTAGATGTGGTTTCTGGTTTGATGGGAGTGTTGCTCTCCTTGGCTTCCTTCCTTGGCATACCCTGGGCCGACACACCAGCTTTGGCCTAGGCGGTTCTCAAGACATCTCAGCGTGTGCCACAGAGCATCCAGTCCTCCACTGTCTTCCAGAGACTTCCCTTCTGAAAGCGCCAATCACGTGATGTTAACTCTTTGACAGGATGGGAAACAGCACATCCTCATCTGTGGAGAAGTCAGCAACTACTCCTGTGAACCAGATCCAAGAAACAATTTCTAACAATTGTGTGGTGATTTTCTCAAAAACATCCTGTTCTTACTGTTCAATGGCCAAAAAGCTTTTCTATGACATGAATGTCAACTATAAAGTTGTGGAATTGGATATGCTGGAATATGGCAGCCAGTTTCAGGATGCTCTTCATAAGATGACTGGAGGAAGAACTGTTCCAAGGGTGTTTGTCAATGGCACATTCATCGGAGGCGCAGCTGACACTCACAGGCTTCACAGAGAAGGGAAGTTGCTGCCGCTGGTTCATCAATGTAACCTACAGAAGAGCAAGAGGAAAGCCGTGGAATGATGTGGCCGTTCACTGGGACCAGTGAAATGTTCGTTAATGCAATTCCGCTTTTTAATTGTTCGAAGCTGTTTTAAGTGTGTGTACTACCTTCCTAAAGACAACTTCAAATACTGGACAATAAATTACTGTGGACCCCCTCAAAAAAAAAAAAAAAAAAAAAGCATTAAATGACATATTATTAAAATAAAAATCAAAAAGATCTTCAAGTTCTGTTTGCATGTCAGTCACTGCTTTCTTTTTAATGGGGACTATTATGAGTGCCCTGTGAAATGGAGATCCTCAATGATAGTTTCATCAACTGTGAAAAAGTAATTTTGTTTCATTTTATGTGATAAGTAGTAAGCTTTCTATGGATCAGAGATTAACGACTCAGATTGCTAATTATTGCCCATGACTTAACAAGAATGTTTGAAATTATGATTCATACAGGCTAGGTCACAATCTGCATAACCAAACTAAATTCCGAGAAGGAAAATTCAAGTTTAGAAGGCAGTAGTACTAGATACAGCGACCTGGTACATCACTCAGTTGGGCGGAAGTGTGAGCATGAATCAAGACAACAGCTCCTGATAGCAGATGAGGAATTAATTACTACTTTTTCAAAATTAAGTTTCCAGGGTGGCACACAACTGTATCCAGCACTTGAGAGGCTGAGGTAGGGTGATCACACGTTCAAAGCCAGCCTGGGCTCTTAGAGTGTTTTATGGCCAACCTGGTAAAACCTTGTCACAAGGAGCAAAGAGGTGGAGGGAGAAAAAAGGGAAGGACCAATTACAATGTACATCACTGGTCCATTGTACTTTTCAGGGATTTATACAAAGTATTTTAAAAATTATAGTGTTTTTCTGATTCCTTTTGCTAGTTTCTAATACTGTTTATTGTTTACTAATAGAAAATATATTTTAAGAATTTTAAGTCTCAAATATGTTTAATGTAGGATATTCCAGAAGATATTCTCAAGAACTTGGTGGAAGAGCTTCCTCAGCCACGGAAAGTGCCTAAACGGCTAGATGAGTACACCCAAGAAGAAATAGAGGCTTTCCCGAGAGTGTGGGCTCCGTAAGTGTGCCTTTCCTTGTGTCTTTCTGCTTTCCTGTTTTTCAAGCTGAACTTTGAAAAAGAATAAGATCCTTAAAGGTGGTGGGAATAAACAGTTTCTCATCCCCTTTGAAACTTGGAAGCTAAGAACTACAAATAAACTCCACTGGAGATGTTGGACCCAAAGGTCTTTAAGCCTTGTGACCATGCTAAGTAAGTGTAAGGGTGTGGTTGGCTACTTCACTTGAGGTGACATTATTTGGAGTGACTATCTCTTTTAATGGTAAATCCACTGTCATTAACCTAAAAGCAGTGAGTCTCGATTTTCACATTGTTTTGTAAAGATAAGAATGTCACCTAATTAAAAGTCCATTGACTCTGGAATTTTAGTTTTGATCCTAGAAGAAGGAAAAAAATAAAATGTTTTCCTCTCCTCCATAAAATTTCCTGTACCTTATGCCCTAATGACAAGCCGTCTTCTCTCTCGCTGTCTCCAGGCTTCCTGACTTGGGAATGCAGAAGAAGCATGTCCCCTCACTTGCTCAGGCAGTGCCCCCATAGCCCTCGACTGGCTCAGGCTCCCCACTGTAGGCAGTCCTCATGGGCTTTTCTTTTCACTGCTGTATTTATCCTCGTGCAGTTGAGATGTGTGTGTGTGTGTGCTCGTCTCTTTAGTGTCTTGTTTTGCTCACTTGATTTCACAAGAAGACTGCATTCTTGTCTTGCTCAGTGCTGAGCACAATGCCCAGCATGCTACATAAGCATTCAGCAGATTCTTTCTTACCAAGAGAATTAATTAAGGTACATAATTTTCTTCATTAGCTTTTATAAGTGAAGTTCTAAAAAAAAAAAAATGTTTAGGAAAAAAATAAAACAGTTTTTACAGACATTTATCACTACCTAAAATAATTTAATTTATATCTTTTGCTATTTGTCTCTTTATATTAATAACAGTAAAAATAGCAAGAAAGAAAGTGCTTTACATGTTATTACAGCTAATTATCCTCTGAGTAACTAATAAGTTAGTATAGTTTGGTCCCATTTTTATAAATTGGAAAATAGAGGCAAAGAAAAGTGTGGACTAGTCACTAACATCTCGTAATTGTAAGGGGTGGACTAGGGATTGAGCAGAAGCTCCTAGGTCACCCTCCCATCTTAGCACTGGAGTGCCTCCCTCGCCTTGTGCATCTGTGGTGTGCCAGACTGTAAATATATCAGCTACTACTGCTGCCTGCGAACATAAGGACTGAGACGTCTATGCATCTGAGAAACCCAGCTCATGGAGATAGTACTTGGCATGTGTTCTCAGGGCTCAGTGAGTGCTTCTGAAAATGAATGAATCCCTCCCTCAAAATTAATCTGCACAGCTTCCATACTTCAGTTTGGATTTGCCTCTCTATGACCTAGGTCTGTACCCCTAAGTAAGCCTGTTTCCTCATCTGAACTTACACAGTACCGGCATGCTTGCTAACGTAGCATTGTTATATAAAAGTACATACATAGAAAGGATCCCAGATACTCAGTTTTGATAAATTATATTCTAAAAAAGTACATAATATGTCCTGTCAAGTTGCCTTCTGTAACACCGTCCCAGAAATAGAGGTATTCCATGTCTGTTAGTCTCACAGAATTACCATCAGAAGTAAGTTTATATTCCTGACCAGAAGAATCGTGATAGCATTTTTTACTAGATCTGCCATGGGTTCAATTAAACCAAATATGTCCCCAAACATTTTATGAACTTGAAGTTATAATATATTCTAAAGAGTTTAACTCAAGCAGTGTGGTAATATACTAACATTCAAAACTAAGTCTATTTAGTATTGCTATATCAAACCATACTAGTCACACTGCTTATTGTAACTTGAGTGTCTCCACTAAATAAATAGACTCAGAAAGGGCTTTTCTCTGATGATTTTTAAGGAGATTCTCAGTGGAACTTGGAGCCGCTTGGTTTAGTTTTGAGTTACTGCTGTGGAGATGGATTTTCCTGTCCTTTCACTCCATAGTCCCCTGTAGCAGGAATATGCATTAGACGTCGGGCTTTTCTTTAGGGGTCATTAAAGTTGTGGTCTTTTTTCCTAAGTAGCTAATGCAACACATGGTAACTTCTATTGCCAAAATAGTATATGGATATACACTTACTGAAACTTTACCATGTATAGGTATATTAATCATTTAACATAAATATTCAAAATGATGTTTTCTCTGCATATTAGAGCTGCCATTAGGTTCAGGTAGTTTTTAGTGCATGAGACGCATGTGACCAGGAACAGCTTCATAGACAGCCAGCTCTGGCCAGCTGTGGGACTGAACCCTGTACTGCAACAGGAATAGACTTGAATCTGATGTCATTTTAATAAGCTTAAGTTTTAGTAACCATGAGTGACCACCTTGCTGGTCTATACCATTGATGTTTAGCACTTTGTAAATTCTGTATAGTTTAGAAGTAAAATTAAAGTACCTCAAATACCATTCAATTCAATGCACTGAAAGTGGAATTTCTTATTTTTGAATGTTCACCTTTATGTGATAAAAATCTCTCTCCTTTTGGAGGAAGAACTTAACTTAAAATAAACTTTTATTCCACCAAAAATAGCTGAACCAAGACTATAGTCTTAATTTGGAATGTAATGGTTAGAAATGATTCAGGATCAGTCTGATGGTGAATCTGCACAGACATGACTGAAGCAGGTGTCCTGGACCACACCAGGAGTGAATACACTAGGAAGTGGCCTCCTTTGGTTTTTTGTATCCCTGGTAATAAAACTTACATGGGGATTTTTGTTGGCTTTTGGTAATATAGAAATTTATAAACTTTCCTCTTGGAGGCTAAAACTTTTGAACATCAGTAATAATTGTCAACCTAAACATTAAGCCAGCAGGTGATTAATAAGTTTGATTTCATCTTAATTAAAAACTAACATTGTTGGGATTTTATTTAAATCAGTGATTCTGAGTCTGTGGGTCGCAGCCCCTTCAGGGGTCAAATGACCCTTTCACGGGGGTCACCTAAGAACATCAGAAAGCACAGATATTTACATTACTGTTAACAACAGTAGCAAAATTACAGTTCTGAAGTAGCAACAGAAATAATTTTATGGTTGGGGGTCACCACAGCATGAGGTACTATATTAAAGGGTCGCAGCGTCAGGAAGGTTGAGAACCACTGATTTAAACTGTTTTAGTGCTTACAGAGGTTGTGTTTTTTTAGACCTGCTCTCAGTATATGCTAATTCATTTTTTTCTTAGTTATTGATTAGTCATTTTTTAAAATAATGGTAGGAGATAAGAGATGAAATCTGTTGATAACAAAAGTCATAACTTTTTCAAAAGTAAAGCCATTTTTCCATGTTGGTAATACTGGCTGTTCATCTCACTTCTTTCAGTAGTGGGTAAATTTGTCATGTTAGTGTCTTTTAAACATAAAGAATACAGAATCTTTTTGAGGAAAATGCTATAAAGTTTATATTTTATGCTCTAGTTAATACAAAGTAGGTATGTGCCTGATTGTACAAGTATGATTGCGGAGTATGCACTTAGAATTTCTCCTTATTTGTGAGAAGAAATTAAAAAATAGCAGGACTATTCTTTGTTTATACTTCAGTGGCCTGAAATTGTAGCTTTCAAGTGGACAATTATTTAAATACTCTCAGTAATTATTTCCATAATTGTTGCAGTTTTGCCATTATATGACACAACTCCAATGATTATATACTCTGTGGTGCTCTTGTTGAAATGGAAATTTTTTATTGTGTAGGTTAAAAATAAAAATTGGATCATTTTAGACTTCTTTAGTTTTGAGTTTTACAGAGTTATGTAGGAGAGCTTTTATTTGGAAAAACTGCATTTATCTTGAACTGCCTTGCATTTTAATCCCTCACTTGTTAATAATGCTTTATATTAACAAAATTCACCTTTATAGAGAAACTGAGTGGAAAGTTTGAGTGCCTTTTGTATCAAGTCTTTCTCTGACCCGCCAACTAGCTCCCAAATAATGACATAGAGATTTATTATTAATTATGAAAGCTAGGGCCTTAGCTTAGGCTTGTCCCATTAGTTCTTATAACTTAAATTGACCCATTTATATTAATCTATGTTTTA